TTTCATTCCCGCTTTTAAAAAAATTTAAGCAGTACCAAACTGGTACTAAATCTTCTGCTCAACACACCTAAAGAAGTCCATAGCTTTCGTTTTTTGAGGCTTAATTTTATTCAATTTTTCTAACTGTTTTTTGGCTTAGATTTCTAACTTGATTTTAGGAAACAATCAAGCCAGTCGCAGAGAAATTAAATTTTTACCTGAAAAAATAGATCGGTTGAGAAACAACCTGTTATTGGGAGCAAACGCTAATAAACTTAACAAATGTTAAGAACAAATACACACATTATAATTTTAGTATAATGGTACATCACGGACGATATTTTAAGTAGAGTAATGATATTCACACGTCGTTTCTTAGCTCTCACACACTCATTTTAATTTTCAACCATCAAATTAAATAACTTAAAAAAGATCAAACGATATAAATCAAACATAAAATATATAAGTATAGCATCGCTCTTATGTCACAAACTTATTAAGGGACGACTCCACAGCTATGGAGTATGGACGTATGAACACTGAAATAAATTTGGTATAGGACAGATGTCAGCCTGACGTCTGATATGAACGCATCTCTTCAACTCGATTAACTTGGCCTCTAAATGTGTTGCACACCATATAATATGTATTATTATACATAGGAGGCTTTAATAATGGGGTGAGTTGTAAGGCTTACACCATGTCAAACTTCAATGATCTGAACCATCTATTTTTCAAGTTGCACCTCTTATATCATTCTTGCAAAATATTAGTCAAACCGGAAATATTTGAGACATCTAATTGAGTTAAAAAAAATTAACGAATTCTATAAGAAGCAATGAAATTTCATCGTAATAATTAAATAAGCAAATAGTTTCGGATTGAATTGAATTTTTGCAAGGATAATCTATAAATCGAGACTTACAAAATAGACGTTCGGATCGTTGAAGTTCGACGTAGAGTGGGTTCCACAACTAATCCTCATTTTTTGAAAAGTATAGGATCCCTTCCCTTAATGAACATTTACCTATAGATCGATGTGTGTTCGACTTTTCCCCTTCCATATTATCACTTGATGCTTGTAACAAAAGAAGACTAAAGTGCAATTAGGTTATTCATTGTATTTAGCTTATGTTCTCTAACATTATGGTTTATAACCTATACCTTCTTCAAATTAGGGCTAAAGAGCGTATATTATATACCTATAGACTAATGTTGTATGTTCGATTGTTTCCTCCTTCAATATCGCTCGGTGCTTGCTACAAAAGAAACCTAAAGTATAATTAAGTTCAATGTATTTACCTTAAGTTCTATGTGCTTGTTACTTTTGAATTTTTTTTGTTCTTAATTGTGCTGCAAGTTTCCTTTTGAAGCTAGCTAGCCACAGCTGCTAGCTGCAGGTCAAGGGTCGGCATGAGTTTCGAGCGCCATGCACTGGGGGAAATTAAAGAGCCTCAAAAGTTGGTTGAGAGAAAAAGAGTTGAATAAAATTTGCAACCCTCGGGAAAGCTAAGGCTTTTCTTTTTGTTAGTTGAACCGTTCCCAGCAAAGTTATTTCGTACGAACGATGTTGTTGTGTAGTAGTTGGTATTATTAAGGCTCCCTCAGCTCTATTATTACTTCATGCATGTTGCTCTAGACGTACTAGGGATGACAATTCTAACTGTTAAACTCGATAACCGTCCAAATGGAACGGATTTGGGTATGGAAGTTTGGGTATATTCTGGATATGGAGAAAAACCGCTTATATTATTTGGTTATGGTTTTGGATATGGTTATAGAGGTCCCCAAACTGTATCCATAACCGAATCCGACCCTATTAGTAAATAATATATATATATATATGTGTGTGTGTGTGTGTGTGCGTATTTGTATATCCATTATTCACCGAACCATTACCTTGAGAATACAAAAGTTGCATTTTGTAGGAAAGTAAAGTTTTGAATCAAAATCAATGTGAATTCAATGGTGCTTATGTGAGATATCAAAGACAACCCAACATCATCAGTGTTTTAATTTTTATACTCAACAAGATCCATTCGTTGGACCATTTTGTACATCAATGACGAAATTAATATCTATTAACTTATAATGTCTTAACTGAACGAATATATTTTTTGTATTGACGAAGATGGATATACTCGTTAACCGATGGGGAATCCGTTACCCGGTGAGTATGGTTGTGGATAATACCCGATGGTTAATTTGCAGTTATGAATATGGTTAATTTTCGTGATTATGAGGATAAATATAACATTTCCGTTCCCAAACCAAACCGTTGCCATCCCTAAGACGTACCAATAATTTTGAGGAGTAAATTCTGGGGCCCCAAATACAATTCTATGAAGTAGTAAAACGCGTTTGTGTTATAAAGTATCTTCTCGGCAAGAGAAACTTACAATACAACGTGACATATGCATGACAAGATCGAGAAATATATATTGCTTCATGCAAGTTCTTCGCCTTCTCAACTCAACTAGACGCAGTGAAAGGCAAAACTCCCACATCAAGAAAGGACCAAACCTTATAATGACATACAAGAAGTTTGACTATTCCCCATATTTTCATATTACTGATAGTATTTTGGCAGAATTGTGTGAAGCCCAACGACACAAGTATTTTACGTCCTCCAATTTGTGATGTCTACATGTTAGACTTAAACATTCATCACATGTGAGACGGTGTGTGAGAATGTGAAGAAATATCTATCAGAAGTTTACCAAAGCTTGCATGTCCTTGTAGCTAGAGAGTTGGACTTAAACATGTTAGACTTAAACATTCATCACATGTGAGACGGTGTGTGAGAATGTGAAGAAATATCTTATATCAGAAGTTTACTAAAGCTTGCATGTCCTTGTAGCTAGAGAGTTGGACTACTCTCAATCTCTATATTACCAACTGATTTTATGATAAAACCTCAATTTCCTTTGTAGACAAATTATGTTAAAGCACGTAGGCTTGCAGCTATGCTTTTGTATTGAATCTAGGGTTTCAATCACATTCCAATCACCAATAATTATTCTAAACAACTTTTTCAGGGCCATAATGATTTGAAATTGAGAATGTTAGCAAAAGATTTAGGAGCTGTGAGAGTAGTTGGTTTTGCAATCAAATATCTACGAACTATGTTGACTAAATAATTGACCCATTCATATGGTTACAATTAGTTTTGGTCACATGCCCTGGTAGTAAGTTTTTATAGGTTAGCAAAACTGCTGGGAGTGAAAATGTTAAGTCTGTAAGTTATATTCGCAGGTGCTTCTTATATTCTACGGCTTCTAATTAAATTATAACCAAAGATGCATGGTCAATCTTTAGCGTAAGCATTAAGTAAGCAAGCTATCTTTGAGGAGAAGCCTATTTTGTTTGCAGACTACCCACTAAGCCGTGACACACCAATGGCTAAGAAGGGTACGTACCATAAGGTCAACTTCTTTTGGCAAAGAAGGACTAAAAGCCAACAGCCATAATAATTAATTTACTGGCACCAAATTTGAATTATCATTATATATAGCGATGTTGGTATGGTAATTGTCACAAGCAAAGTTTTAAGAAGAAATGTCATTCAAGATGTGGAATTTTCTTCACAAATAATTGACCGCCACCTGTCCCGTTTACTTGCATGTGAAATTGATGTCCTATTAATTTGATGTTTTCCCATCGGTGAAACTAGAAATTTTGCAAGAATTTATAAGAGGTTGAGTTACTTTTCATATTGCCAAATTGGTTTTATGGTAGAACCCCAACTTTCTTTCTAGTACTAGAGCAGGTTGGCCCACGTGTAAAGCCCAAAGGCCACACTTGCTCCACGTCACTCAATTCGTGTTGTCAAGCATCTGACTTGAAAATGTTGCCACATGCGAGGGAGCATGTGAGGATGTGGAGGTAAAAGAGTCTCACATCGGTGAAAGGAGAAACTTTGCAAGGCTAAGAAGTTGGGCTACTCCCAACATTGCCAATTGGTTTAAGGTGGAACCCCAACTTTCCTTCGGGTATCAGAGCAGGTTGGCTCATGTGTGAACGGCCACACTTGCTCCACATCACCCAATTCTTGTTGTTCACATGTTTGACTTGAAAATTTGCTATACGTGAGAGGGCGTGTGAGGATTTGAAGGTAAAAGAGTCTCACATCGGTGAAAGAAGAAACCTTGTAAGGAGTTATAAGAGGTTGAACTACTTTTCATATTTCCAATTAGTTTTATGATGGAACCCAACTTTCTTCATGGAATACTAGTGTTTTCAAATAAGAACAATTTATCAGCAGCAGGTTAATTTGATCCCTTCCAACACTACTAGACCTTTAGCACACAAGGTTTGAAAAGCAAAAACTGTAAAAATCAGGTTGAGGGTGAGCTAGAGAACAAACTTGAACAGCGTATATGCAAGTTTAATTGAAGTTGTTTTAACTATTATAAATCTGATAGATTTGATGCAAGCGTGGTCTAGCTTGTCTAGAAAATCTGTTGTTTCATCGGGTATATGGTCGTGTTGAAAACACTCGTCAGGCTATGGACATAATGCTGTGCATTTATCCTTGGTTGTAGGAGCATGACTTGTCTACACTAGCTACTGTGGCAGATTCTAAATCAACAACGCATTGTAATGAATTTTTAACTTTCTATATGTACGCACTAATGCATTGATGGTTTTAACTATCTTTATAGTAACGGATCGCGTAGGAAGTCTCTCTCCAGTTCGAGGACATACTTTGATGAGCCTGACCCAACTGACAATTACACCAATTTTTTCTCATTTTTGAGTTGACTTGGTAGTAGATTAACCTAAAGCCAAAATAATACTGACCAAATTTACGAAATCTTGGTCGAAAAGCCACTTCAATTGATCAACAGGAAGCAGAAATTTCAAACCTAGCTTTTCTTTTTCTTTTGCATTGCCAACCATACAAGGTATTGTCATAAACACAAACTACAATATAGCTTTGCTTTTGTACAAGTGGGCCTAAGATTTTGCTCCAATTGTCAAGCACCCCTACCTCTATATAACCCACCTCTCATCTATTCAAATTTCCCCACAAACACGGTGATCTTTGTCCAATCATAAGAAAAGATCTAGTCCAAACTCCTTTCTATTTTCTTCGTTAGGTTACTCCCAAGAAGTCAAAAGCCAATCCCATGGCTAGCTCATTGGCCATTTTTTGTGTGGTCATGGCGTTGGGAATGTTGAGTTGTGGGGCTGAGGCTCGTGCCTTTTTTGTGTTTGGAGACTCACTGGTCGACAATGGTAACAACAACTACTTAGCCACCAGTGCTCGTGCCGACTCTCCTCCTTACGGCATTGACTATCCCAACCGTCAACCCACCGGCCGTTTCTCCAATGGCCTCACCATTCCTGACTATATCAGTTAGGCTTTCTTCCATTCTCTTTTTCTTTCCGATTTTTCGGGTTCTTTTCTCGTTATTCACATGTACTGAATTGACCTAATATGTGTGTGTGTGTGTGTGTGTGTGTGTGTGTGTGTAGGTCAGAATCTTGGTGCAGAACCTACATTGCCATACTTGAGTCCACAGCTCACAGGGCAAAAGCTACTAGTTGGTGCAAACTTTGCCTCCGCTGGCATTGGAATTCTCAATGACACTGGGGTTCAGTTTGTAAGTTTTCTTTTAAACCAAATAGAGGATCATGCGAGAGATTAGCTCTTCAGTGCCCGTCATGGGCACAAAAGTGCTACATGCTAGTAAATTAATTAACTTGGTAAAGCTGTCAACCAACAAATTTTTTTTTGAACAAGTAATGGATGGATATGTGTGAAATTTTCAGGCAAATATAATCAGAATGCCATTGCAATTGCTAAACTTCCAACAATACCAGCAAAGGTTGTCTGCCCAAATCGGACCTCAACGGACCAAACAGCTCGTAAATCAAGCACTCGTCCTCCTCACCGTCGGCGGCAACGATTTTGTCAACAACTACTACCTAGTGCCTTTCTCCGCAAGATCTCGCCAGTTTTCTCTGCCAGACTATGTCAAATACCTCATTTCCGAGCTCCGAAAAATTCTCTTGGTAACCAACTCCTAATGTGGCTAAGTTTGAAAATAACTTGCTAGCTAAGCGACAATGTCACATGTTAATGACTTATAATTATGTGTTATTTGATCATTCTTTGTTTCATAACTTACAGAAAATGTATGATCTTGGAGTACGAAGGGTTTTGGTGACGGGGACAGGACCGATGGGCTGCGTGCCTGCTGAATTGGCCATGAGAAGCAGGAATGGAGAATGCGCAGCAGAGCTGCAACGAGCGTCGGCTCTGTACAACCCGCAACTCATTCAGATGCTGAGATCAGTCAACAGCCAACTCGGTTCTGATGTCTTCGTTGCTGCCAACATACAGGAGACCCGCAATGACTTCATCAGGAACCCTCAAACATTTGGTAAATTAATTATACAATATACATTTATATCAATTTTATGTTCATGACCTAATATTATGATCATGGATTAAGTTTTGTTCAAAAGATTAACCTATTTAGGAATCTCCTAATCTACACTTATTTTCAACCCCACCAATCATTTTGTCTCTTACTATACATTTTTTTTTTGTGTTGGTGACATAAAGTTGCTTGTTTAATTTATGTTGTGCAGGATTTACTACATCAAAGATTGCATGCTGTGGGCAAGGACCTTACAATGGCTTGGGGCTGTGCACAAGAGCTTCCAATTTGTGCCCGAACCGCGACCTATACGCTTTCTGGGATGCATTTCATCCGTCCGAAAAGGGAAACAGACTGATCGTTGAGAATATTTTGACAGGGGATGAAAAGTACATGTACCCCATGAATCTTAGCACCATCTTGGCTTTGGATTCCAGGACCTAAGACATATTTCCATGTGAAACTAATATTTATGTGTACTAGATTATGATCTGTGTTGAATGCCAGTACTATCTGCCATTTATGTTTGTGCGTCGCTGGGATGTCTAGTGATTAAAAACTGATTGGCTTCCCAATTGCTTTCTAGTTTTTGTAATGGTTTGATTTGCAAGATTTTCCCCAGGGTGATAATGTAAAACTTACCGACAACTTAAGTACAATCATTTTAATTTACATTGAGTCGTTTTGTTCATGCTTGTGGAATTTATTATCACTTGCTCAATCTATCAGGTGTGGGATTTTATTACAAAATGTCTCGTTATTAGATAGTGGGTAATCGTATTTATATTCATCTTGGTATAATCCAAGTGGTAGAACGAACCTACCTGCCTTTGGCTCTAATACCATGTGGAATTTTCAAAGATACAGGCCGAGGACCCCGCGTCCAACGATATTGTCCCCAATTTGATAATTAGCACTTGTCCAATATAATTTAGAGTAATAGTTAAAGTAGAGTAATCATATTTAAACTCTTATTTCTTCTTCCCTTTGGCCGATGTGGGATAGCCAACATTGCTTGATCAAATTTGCTAATGTTGGTTTATTTGTAGCTATTGAACATACCGTGACCATTTCTTCGTGTTACATGGGTGCGTGATTTGTCTAATCTCTTCCTAAAATATTCAAAAGTTCGTTTTTTGTAACCAAAATGAGTTAATAATAGTTATTTATGTGCTCGAAGTTTAGTGTTTGATCTCCCCTTCTCCAATATTGCTTATATCAATAGCTTCCGGAAACCTGGATTAGGCTGGCAGGCCTAGACCATAGAGACAAATAGAAACTAGACCTGACTAAGATGTAAAAAATTGGAAGGACACCTAGGTTCAAGCCAAAAATATTGGGGGCATGAATTTTTAAAATTTTTGGTAACATGAGACGAAGATTTTAATAAGAATCCAATGAGTATTTTCCAATATGTAAATTTACTCAAGCCAAAAAAAAGGGCTGAAAATAGAGAAAAAAACAAGGATCACAATGCATGCTGGCTCATGATTGTAAGGGTATTTGAATGCATGCTAAGCTAATAAGCTTCATACAATTAGGTGTGGGAATTTTGTGTTGAATTGAAACCAGTGTTGGTAATTTGGTATTGAAATAATGCAAGCTTATGAAGAAAGTTGAAGTTTCACCGTAAATTTAATTGGTAATATGGAAGTAGTTCAGTCTCTCATAAGCACATGCAAGATCTCTCATTTCCCCAATGTGTGATTCACTCTCAACACGCTCCCTCACATGTGGAGGATTTTCAAGCCTAACATGCGGATAACAAAAATCGAGTGACGTGGAGCACGTGTGACCGTTAGGCTTCACATAGGACAATCTACTTTAATACCATGAAGAAAGTTGTTCTACCACAAAACCAATTGACAATATATAAAGTAGCCCAATTTTTTATAAGCACATGCAAACTCCCTCTTTTCTCCAATGAGATTCACTCAACATCAGCGTTAGGTAAAAACAGCTTTTGATGTGGGGACAAGTCTTAAATATACCAAATGTTGGATAACATTAAAACAAACAACTCTTGAATTATCTTTGTGCGTGACCATGGTTGTCCCAAAATCTTTCAAGAAAAAAAAAACAAAACAAAACTGCAAATGAATTGATAGAAAAACAGTCTCTTTGCAAACAAAGTAAGAGTAAGTCTGCAATCAATAGACGTTCCCTCCTCAATTCTTGTAAAGCAAGGAGCCTTGTTGGCTTGAGCTCACCCTCATTGCATGCATCTCCTTTGCATTGTAAACGCATACAACAGAGCAATCCTCTACCAATTCATTAGCAATATATTGTTCTTTTCTCTCAAGATTACCAGAAAGCCTTTAACTTCTGCAAATAAGGAATGCTCTATCCTCGGCGTCTCCGCTGCAAAAGAGATGGATTAAGTGAGGAAGATAAAAAAAAAATCAAAGAAAAATTGACACAGTTATGTCATATTAGTACATGACATTGATAAAAAAAAAAACTTAAAATTGGAATAAGAAGCCCATTCAATCGGCGTTATAATTCTTAATTACAAAGAAGGGAGTGGATTCGACAAAGCAGAAGGAATAGCACTGGATCTCTGGTGCAAAGGGAAGGGGAAGGGGAGGATCGAAATCTTGTTCTCCACAATTGCCAATCTTTCTTAAGCCAATCTCTTTTCCAATCTAAGATCTCCACAATTGCCAATCTTTCTTAAGTGCGGTTTATTTTTTCTTGAGTTATCTATAGGCATATGGCTTTTGAATAGTATCATTAAATTTCTTAATGATATTTTTCCATCCAATTTTACTAACATGACCAACTTTTGGATTTCCGGATAATGTTTCATCTACACTAGTCCTTATAAATGCCTCAATAGTTGCATTATTGATGCAGGACAAGCCAAGGGTTCTCGAGGAGACGGGTGATGATAACCTGGAATAAATTAAAATATATTTTGCTTTGTGCAATTGAAGTGAGTGATTTCTCCTTCTCCAATCAAGCATTTGGCTTGGTCGTGTTAGCGAATTCACGATTAGCAACGTGAGCGAGCTCCGTTGCCCCAGTTGAGTGACTCCCAGGTTATCATCCCCCGTCTCCTCGAGAACCCTTGGCTTGTCCTGCATCAATTATCCCATATTGCCTTACTCTTCTTTTCATTATCATCCCCGTGTTCAAATTCTGTGAACCTATTTTGTGTGGCCTCTCAGTGGCATTTTATTATTGATTGGTACGTGTTAAGTTTATGATAACAAAGTTAAGAAAGTTTATAGACATGTGTGTCAATCAATGAAAAAAGTCACAGAAAAACCACACACAAAATAAATGCATAAAATTTGAATTTATTGTCCCCATTTGCATCTTGTGAATCCTTAACTACATTCTTTGAAATTTCTATCTCGAGTAAGAGAAAAAGAAAAAAAAACATAGAACATAATAACTGTTAACGTAGAAAGATCAAGAAATATAGCTAGGGTTTCAAGAACTAGAGAGAGATTGAAAAAGATAGAGAAGGAGATTTCATATATTCTGTTTTCTTCTTTTGTTTTCTTACCATGCAAGCTATTACATTGGTGTATATATATTGAGAATAACATCTCTAACTAACTAACTAAAAGATACAATCTTATGACACTTGGCATGATCCTAACCATTCTTTATATTCTTACATTCCCCCGCAAACTCATGGTGAGGGAGACCAAGCATGAGGTTGAAGCAATGAGAGCGAAATAGAGGAGTACTGAGACCCTTTGTGAGGATATCGGCAAATTGTTCGCGGGAGGACACAAACTGAACAAGAAGCTTTTTCTGAGCAACCCGTTCTCTCACAAAGTGCACGTCAATCTCGATATGCTTTGTCCGTTGATGTTGAACAGGGTTGAACGATAGGGCAATAGCAGAGAGATTATCACAGAAAAGGACAGGAGCAGTAGTAGGGCTAATATGCATAAACTTCAGCAATTGCTGAATCCAGTCAAGTTCAGCAGATGTGATCGACATAGCTCGATACTCAGCCTCGGTAGAGGAGCGAGAGACCATAGTTTGTTTCTTAGAAGACCACGAGATAGGATTGTTTCCTAGAAACACAACCATGCCAGTAGTTGAACGCCGATCATTCGGGTTTCCTGCCCAATTTGCGTCACTGAACGCCTTCAAGGATAACTCACCCCGAGTATAAGAAATACCAACGGATAACGTACCCTTGAGATATCTCAAGATACATTTAACTGCAGTGAAGTGAGACACCATGGGAGACTGCATAAATTGACAAACCTGATGAACGGAGAAGGCAATATCGGGGCGAGTAAATGTAAGATATTGTAATGCACCAACGATGCTCCGATATGCAGTGGGATTGTTATAAGGGGTACCATCATCTTTAAGAAGTCTGTTGTAGGGCAAGCATGGTGTATCACAAGCTTTACAGTCGACCATCTCAACTTTCGCCAAGAGATCCTGTATATACTTTGTCTGGGACAAAAATAAGCCTTGAGAAGTCTTGGTGATCTGAATCCCGAGAAAATAATGAAGCTCGCCCAAGTCTTTGATATCAAACTCAGTGGTCAAGGATTAAATGACCTGTTGAATGACTATAGAAGAATTCCCAGAGATAATAATATCATCGACATAGAGTAAAAGAATGACAACATTACTTCCAACAGCCTTGACAAATAAGGAAGAGTCAGAATATGTAGACTAGAATCCGAGAGAGGGAAGAAAACTTGTGAACCGTTCATTCCAGGCATGAGGAGCCTGTTTCAAACCATACAGGGACTTATGCAGTTTACACACAAAACCAGGCCGAGAAGTATCCTCAAAACCCGGTGGTTGAGTCATATAGACTTCTTCATTCAATACTCCATGCAGAAATGCATTCTTGACATCCAACTGTCGAAGAGACCAATTAAAATGAGCTGCCAAGGCTAGTACTAAGTGCACAGTGGTTGGCTTAACCACTGGACTAAAGGTCTCCCCATAATCCAAACCAGGCTCTTGACTAAACCCCTTAGCAACCAGGCGAGCCTTATGTCGAGCAATTGAACCATCCAAATTCTTTTTAAGTTTGAACACCCATTTGCACCCAACTAGATTCTTATCGAGGGGTAGAGGAACTAAGCTCCAAGTCTGTTGATACTCCAATGCAGCAAGCTCTTCTCTCATAGCACTCAACCAAACTGGAACTTTTAAAGCAGATTTATGAGTGGCAGGTTCCACTTGAGTGAGATCAATGAGACTAGAATCAGGAACCGTGCTGAGAAACACCTTCTTCTTGATTATACCATTTTTACTCCGAGTTTGCATAGGATGCAAGTTAAGTGGGGCAATAGGCAATACCACTTGAAGAAACTCAGTTCTAAAATCAGGATCCACAGGGAGTGTAGTGGATGAGCTTGTAGGGACAGTAATGGACAGAGGGGAAACATGATCAGGTGATGGCAGTGGTATAGAACCAGGAAGAGATTGTAGAGATCCAGGAGACTGTGGAATGGATGGTGAGGAGATATGAACACCAGGTGATGTCGAGGAAGATTGAGGTTGGGATGGTGGAGTTTGAACCTGATGCTGAACTAGTATATTATCCATAGTAAGAACAGGAGATGGAGTGGAGGGTTGAGACACATGTGATTGAACAAACTGGGGTGTAGAAGGCATAGTCAAACGAGGATAAGGAAATCGAGACTCATCAAAAACAACATGCCTCGATATATATACTCT